ACAGGATAAGCTGCCAATTGGTGGGAACAGGCGGGAACTTCTTAGCAAGCGAGTCACAGAGCCTTCTTAACGCCACCACAAAAGCCCTTTCCCAGAACTGTGGAAGCAGCAGGGAGTGGTGGGAGAATCCTGAATGACTGCATTCTGCACCATGATATGAGGTGATCCTTCATATTAATAATTTGCAATTCCAAGGAAGAGTCTTGATGCAAACCGGTTCTGAAGCTGAGCCTTGGGGTGGGGCCGCAGTTGAACACACCGTATTCATTTGCTTGGCTTTGCCCTCTGCTCGCTTTCAGTTTTGCCTGTATGCTGCTCTGGATTCTGGCCCTGAAGCTGAGGCTGCAATCCTAATATAATTTACTTGACAGCGAGACACACACACACACCCGCCCGCAAGCCTGGGATGTTCAAAATGAAGGTGACACTCAAACTCTGTGTGTTATTTTAGGGCAGGAAGAAATGAGAGGTATGAACATGGCACTCTGGTTAGGAATCTGTTTGGAGCAATTGTTTCATGTTGCTTCAGGGGAAGGCTAGCCCATATTCTTACATCACTCAAAGTCTTAATAGCATTTTTATAAGCCCAGGTCTGGGCTTATTTTAAAACAATGTGGACTATTCATCAAGCAGCACAATTGTTCATGCTACGATTGCAATTGTTTGAGACTTCGCTCCCTGTTGCTGGGAGAATGGAATGGAAAACAGTTGAATGTTCAGGGAGTGAGGAACCCACAACTCCTTGCTATCAGTTCCTCCCAGATGAATTTTGAAGCTGCCTCCCAGAGAATCAGATAATCATGCCCAGAGTTGCTTCCCAAAGATCTCAAGGTCTTTCTCAAGTCTGCTACTCAGTGACATAGCGTGGGTTACCAGCACACGGGGCTGCGTGGATGGGGGTGAGTGTGAGGGAGAGAAACGGACAGAGAACGCATACACATTCAACTGCCTAACACTGTCTGGATCACCTACGAGATTGCAGCCGTAGAGATAAGATAAGTAATTCTGTTTTCTGTAGAGTTCACTTCCTGGTCGCACGGTGAAGTCGCTTTCAACAGAGCCCAGCAACGGAAGCACACAGCTGTATTGAGGCAGTACTGGCTGTTGAAATTTTGCACCCCTAATAATTTTGTGCCTGGGGCAACCACCCTTGTGCCCCCCTCCATGCCACGCCACTGCTGCTACTTGAGAAGACATTTCAATGGAGATACCCTGGATTGACCTGGATGTAGGGGTAAGGAACCTCCACTCCACATGCCAAACGTGACCCACCAGATCTCCTTGTTTGGTCTGCCAGGTCTTTTTCTTAAACTACAGCTGCCTGCCCCTGTCTCTGATGTCATATATGCAGGTATGCCATGGACCTCTTGGCTCTGTCAGGATCTGGCATGGTTTGGCAGCACCAAATGCAAGAAGAAAGGAAGGAGGAGGTAGTGGGCTGGTAAACAGGCACCAAGGGATGGAGGGGGAGGTCTTCTTCTTGGGACTTCAGATGTCAAAGAAGAAAGGAAGCAGATCTGGCTTTCTGCCCCCATCAAGCAGGTGAGATTGGATACACCAGCCAAGCTCATTGCCAGGTGAGTATCGGATTGTAGTCTTTATTCTAAACACAGGGTGCTAAAGTAAATCCCACTGAGCTCAATGGTGCCTTTATATAATGTGTTTTAAGTCAGGGATTGTGGTATGCAACATAGGCCACTTCTGGACTGTTGCTATTTTGTGGATGAGATTCAGTTGTATACTAGTAAATTCCAGTTGCCTAATTAAAGCGGATTTTGCATTCTTGTGCAAAATCCCCTGCTCTCAGCCCACACCAGTGGGATTTTGTGCAGTGAGTAGAGTGATAGGGAAAGGCAATGAAAAGCAATGGGACAACAGTTGTTTGACAGCAGTGGATGTTGCACAACCTCCCTGCAAACTTTGTGCAAACAAATGCTCAATAAGCAGATCATCTGGAAGCAATTTACAGTCCTTGTTTCCAGTGTCCTTGTAGTCATGTTGTTAAGTATTATAATTTGTAGATAAACAAATTAAGATTAGATCAAGGTAATTTCCAAAAGCACATCTGTTGATGGTCAAGTTCGCTTAGAAGTCATGCCCCCTTATCCAGTATATTACGTCATTCACAGGCTGTCTATCATCTAACAAATGAAGCTGCCTCAGACTATTTATCAATCTAACCCATTATTGATTGGCACCAGCTCTCAGGCCAGGGTCTTTTTAAAAACCGGAGGTGCCAAAGATTGAGCATAGCATCTTTTGCACAGAGAGCAGATGCTGTTCCTCCAAGCAGTGGCCCCTTCTCACATGATTTCAGAGAATTGTATGCAATAATTTCCTGAGGTTGTGTGCATGTACAGTTCTTGTTGGTGGAAGCGTTTGGTCCACAGGCTGAACGAAACTCCAGGTGGTTTATAAGACTCCATGAAGCCTGTCTGGCAGTGTTAGCACCTGGGGTTAGCACATGTCAGGGATGGGGAAGCTTTTTTAGCCCATTCCCTTCTGGGCAAACCTTTCAGGACCACTGTGCCAGTGGTGGGAGGCACCAAAATAAATTGTGGGCAGAGCAATGAATACAAATGCTACTTTTGTCAGCAGGCCAGTTTCTGTACCAGTGGTGTAGCATGGGGGGCACTGGAGATTGCCCTGGGTGCAAAATTGTTTGGGGGCACAAAATTTCAACAGCCGGTGCTGCCTCAGTACAACTGAGTACCTCTGTTACTAGACTCTGTTGAACATGGCTTCTTCATGTGAACCAGGAAGTGACCTCTCCAGATGACAGAATGACTCTTCTTATCTCTATGGTCACGATCTTCTAGGTGATGCAGACACCATTAGGGAGTTGAATGCACATGCACACTCCGTCAGTTTCCACTCCAAGTAGCCCCAGGCCCTGGCAAGCCATGCTATGCCATTGTTCTGCACACACTTACGTGCCCCTCTCTGTCCTCCACCCACCCACATATCAGAGTTCAAGGACACCATCTAGCCAGGCAAAAGCACTTGCGGATTGGGAATGGGGTGGTGATGGTGGCCTGGGAAGAGTCCAGGATTTGAGGTTCCCTGCTCCAATGTATAAAATGGCCACAAGATGATGTAAGAACAATAGCTGAAAGATAGATCCTTATGTACACTGTTGCCAGGTCCTCCCTACCCTCTTACACATGAAGGCAGCCTTTTCATAAAAGTTGGTAAATGGCCATGAACTCTTTTCCACCCACTCCAAGTGCATAATAAATCTTATCCCTTTGCTCTCCCTTTCATTTTCCAGAGTTTGGTTCTTCTAGTTATTTATATTTTTTTTATCCAAGGAAGCCTTCTCAGCAATGGGTGATGCATTCTCCTCGGTGAGAAATCCACCTCCTGCATATCGTTCTTTAATATTTCAGTAAGTGTTTGATTTGGACTGTCTCAGATTAAGAATGAAAAAAGAAAGAAAGCACAAAACCCACGGAGCTGCCAGCCAACTGCTCTTCTGAGTTTCAGTTTTTCTGTTCTTTCAGTGACCAGTGAATACATAGAAGGACTCAAAGGTTACTTGTTGCAGCTGAGTAAGTGGAAAGTACCTTCATTTCAAGCCAAGGCAAGGTTAGGAAACTCCCCCCTCCCTGTTTCTTTTCAGGTATGTTATCTGACTAATCATTCACTGACATCACCCTTTACTAAGGGCATCACATTTTATTCAAGGACAATGCTATTCTGTTTAATTTCATGATGACAGAAATCTGGCGGCAACACGTCCAGTCCCAAAACTGTCCACATTTTGCATAACCTCAAAATGTAAGGCTTATGCTTGGCTAGCCTTGGCCAACTTGGTGCCCTCCCAATGTTTGGACTACATAGCCCATCAGATGACAGAGGCTGATGGGTGTTGTAGTCCAAAACATTGGGAGAGCACCAGGTTGGCCAAGGCTGCTATTCGCCCTACATGCCATTTTGATTTACTGAATTGCACAACATTTTGAAAGGGCAGAATCATGAAGCTGAAACAAACAAAAACTTAGCAGCTGTAGGCCATTAGGGCCAGTGTGGTGTAATAGTTAGAGTGTTGGACTAGAACCTGAGAGAGCAGGGTTCGAATTCCCCACTCAGCCATGAATCTCACTGGGTGACCTTGCGTGGCAAGTACCCTCTCCCCTTGTGAAATGAAGATACCAGACACATTATTTAAGGTTAATGGGCGTAAAAGGCCACAACTTTATTGATTACAGGAATTGAAAGGTATTGGCTTTAGGCATTGGCTCCTATTGACTACCCGGCCGGGGGAGTCCTGTTGAAGTACGCCAACTAGGATCCCCCGGGTGTCACCACTCGGGGGCGTGCCTTAGGCCCTCACCTCCCTAGGTCTCGGACAGGGCAACGCCCCCGGAGTCCTCTACCAGACTACCCCTTTTCATTTGGGGGAAGGTGATGGCGCTTCCTTCCCCCCTTTCATTTGCATAACAATAACCCCTGCCGATGCCTAACCGCCAATACCAATAAAGTTGTGACATTTGCTACGAGGTAGGCGAAAAAAAGCAAAGTCTAGAAATTTGCCAAATGGAAAAATTCCTACCAGGCCCCTTGCGGCGACCAACCAAAGTCCATAGCAAGGTCAACCCTAGCTAAACCTAAGCCCTAGCCAGGCCAACCTAAGCTCAATTTAAGGGAGGGTGAGATGGGAAAACCTAAGCAGCTGGAACGGGAAGAGAGGGCGGTCCCCGGGTGCGCCAGGCTTAAATGTCTTAGGCCACGCCTACCCGGCCTGCTGGTTGGCTGGCTGGGTCGGAGGCACGCCCGAGGATTACCCTGCTCTCGCGGGGGCTGAGAGCCAGCCCCCGCATGCGTGGGGAGGGGGTGGGCCCGCAACCCCACCTCCTCTCCAGCTCGGAAGTGGCTTTCTTAGCCTAACCTACCTCACAGGGTGGTTGTGAGGATGAAATGGGGAGGAGAGCTGTGTACACCAACTTTGAGATCCTTGGAAGATAAAAAGTGTTATATAAATGTACCACTACTAATAATAATATTTAAAGACCTTTTTATTATTAAGTTTTTACAGCACATTTAAGGTACATAAAAGTAAACAGAACAATAACAACAAAACAAACAAGTATTTTTAAATCAATGGCAAGCAGGTTCTGTATCTATTTCAAATATAGTCCATAATTTTCCAGTCGTGTGTGAGGTGTGGGTGTGAAGAATGCCCTCAGATTTAGTTACATGCTCAATAAATTTATACCATATGGCGTAATATTCATCTGTTTCCGGACCATTTATTTGAGCCTTTTACTTTAAAGGTAAGATGTGAGGGAGATCTGGCTGCGACATCTTTCACCCCATTGATCGCCAGGGTTGATTAGGCTGATCTGGCAGCTAGGTGGGTGTCCCCTTCCTCCCTCACCGCTCCTCCTGCGTTCCTCCTGAAGCTGCTCGGTGGACAGCAATCCCAGATTGAAGGAGTGTACTGTTCTTCGGTCAAGGGTATGCGATAGCTGCACTCCCCTGTTAGGACCTCCAAACCAGCTCAAGGCCCCTTTGTAGGAGAACGTTGGGTAGTGAAGCTTCCAAGACTCCTGACACATCCAAGTAAGACGCTGCATGTGCCAGTTTGCCATTCTTTAAGAAGAAGAAGAAAAGGTAAGATTTTCCATCAGAGCAATTTGCCACATTTCCTTATACAGTCATACCTCGGGTTACAGATGCTTCAGGTTGCGTTTTTTTGGGTTATGGACCCGCCAAAACCCGGAAGTACTGCAACGGGTTACTTCCGGGTTTTGGGGGTCGCGCATGCGCAGAAGCGCCGAATCGCAGCCCGCGTGTGCGCAGACGTGCTGCTGCGGGTAGCGAACGTGAATCCCGCACAGATCACATTCGCAACCCGAGCGTCCACTGTACCACAGACTCAGCAGGTTGGAGTGTGGCTGCTTTTAGAAACTGGTGATTATTAATCTAGCTGCCACGATAAAGAAAAGTATTAGCTCTTTAAAAAGATATCTTAGTCGGCAGTGGTGGAGCTACATGTTGCAGCCCCCCGAGCGGAGAACAGGCGAGGGCGTGGCAGCACACATCCCCGGGGCATGGTGTGTGTGTGTGGGGGGGGGCAACCACGATGGAACCCTTTCCCCGAATGGCACCCAGTGCAGGCTGCTTCCCCCGCCCCCACCTTTGTCCGCCAGTGTCAGTCGGTAGAACATAAGATTCTTAATCTCAGGGTTGTGGGTTTGAGCCCCACATTGGTAAAAATAATAACCCTGCATTGCAAAGGGGGTTGGACTAGATGACCCTTGTGGTCCCTTCCGACTCTACCATTCTGTGATTCTACAAATATTTTGAAAATTATCAAAAATAGACAACAATGCCAATTGAGGGCTCACTTGTATATTTTGGCCAGTTGTTTGGTTTATTTCATTAAAAACCTCTGAACAGCATTTACGGCCAGGGCTCTGCTTGCTCAAAAATGGAAAGATGACAAAACACCAACCAAAGAGGCCTGGCAAACCAAGATGATGGAATATGCAGAAATGGCGAAACTTACAGAAAGATTAAGAAATAAAGACAATAGAGACAATAGAGAAGTCTGGGAACTACAATAGAGACAATAGAGAAGTCTGGGAATTACATATGTTGTATCTACATAAATACTGTAAAGAAACAGACTAAGTAAACACATAAACCACTAAACACGTGTAAACACGTACAACCACAAAAATGAATGTAACAGATAAGGAACAATGTTTTGAATATAATTAAGTATAAGAAGTACTTTTAAAGAGATGATTTAAAACGATAAGAATGGGAATGTTTTTAGATAAAAGAATATGAAGTTAAGATATAACAATGCAAGCAGATGGACTATATTTACCAAAAAAAACCCATAAAGGGGAAGTTGAGGAGGGGGGGGGAGAATGGGTGTGTGGGTTTTTGTCTTTTTTATCAATTATGTAGATTATGAGAATTTTAAATTGTATAAATCAATAAAATTAAAAAGCAAACAAATCACTGACCAGCATTTGAATGTTTCCTTGCATGACCAATTGTAAAATGTACCAATTCAACCACAATTTCTCCATCATCGGGGGGGGGGGCTGTTAAGGATGCATTATTTCTATTCAATTTTTATAAAATCCTGTTAGATTTTTTTTTATTACAGCTTTTGAACAATTCAATTAAAGTAACCAGCAGCCAAAACATGAAAATGAAAAGGGTGAGTAAGAATTAAGAAGGGAGATATGAGTTATTTTGACAAGATAAACCAGGGATGGGGCTGCTCATGGGTCACTTTTGGGGGGGGGGATGGGACATGCCAGTTTTGATTGGGGCCAGAGGCGCCAAGCAGAGCAATGGATGCCGCTCTTGCTTTTGTATAGTACCATACATTCCACCAATGCAAAAGTAAAAGGTTTCAAGCCCCGCCCCCATTTCTTCACCCTCGATCCAGGCAAGCGAGAGACATTATCACAATTCAAGGAAAGATTCCAGCCAAACCAAAGTGTATGAGGGGGGTGCAGTCAGGACTGGTGAGGGTGGGGCCTAAGGATAGGGGTGGGGCCTAAGTAAGTCCCAGAGGCTACACTGAGTCCCCATTGTTAGTTAAATGAATAAATATAATGTACTACTGGCTTATTTATTACATCTTAATCTAGATGCATTTCTCTCTGAGTGCCTCACCAGGGGACACCTATGATGTCTTTGGAAAACTAGCTCAAAAGGAGCTACCGACCCCTGCAATAACCATAGATAATTTCTATTATTTGTTTTAGCAGCAAGGGCCTTCTATGACCTGTTTCAAACTATACCATTGCTGCTGCTGCTTATTTTTATTGTAAACTGCCTGAGGGCCTTTTGGAAAGGTGGGATAGAACTCTACAAAATAAACAAAAACCACATAATTTTTGTTTCAGGATAGAAAGCTGCTCTTTTTTTCTGCACATATATGCGCAGAGAGAACCCCCCTCCCTCTCTCTCTCTCCCTCTCTCTCTAATTTCAAGTGGAAGAGCTGCCATCTGGCCTGCCTTTAAAAATACACTCTGGCCCCCATCCAAAGAAAGTTAGTCATGCTTAAATCCCATTGAAACCACTGGGAGAAGATATTTGCAGCTAACTTGAATCCCATCGCTCTCAATAGAGCTCTCCACCCGCTTTTTCCAGCTCTGATGTTTGCTCTCTATTCTTCCACCATCCCACCCTGGCATTAAGGTACAGTAAGTTTAAAGACATTTAATTTGCCTTCAGCAGAAGCTTGCTTTGGATTGCCAAGGTGCCACAAAGTGCTTCAGGGGTCCCTGCTTGGACTCGCTTCATTGTACAGATCCTGCTTCACCTCCAATAAGCCCAAAATCCCTCTGAGATGCAGTATTCCACTTCTCCTCAGCAGATGAGATTCATCCAAACGTAATGCACACTCCCGGCAAATATTCTCATAACTGAAGACCACCAACCCCAGTATTTTATTTTATTTTAAAAAAACTCTACACAGGTATATTATGTAAGAATGTAACCAACATGATTACATTATGATTGCAAGATGCAATGATTGTATTTATCACCATGTTACTATCTGGAATAGTTCATCATTGAAAATAGTTCAGTTCTACATATTGCACACTATTCTGCCCACACATGTTTATCATCACTGGGCCATGGCAGCAGGTGGATCTTTGAACTATATCTCTACATACAGTAAAAGTACTGCATTTCCTCCTTGCGGTTTTAGCACCTTTTCAACTCAAAATTCAGAACAGGCCTTTGTAAGTTGCACTTCTGGAGTTTTACATGTGAAGCAGCTGCATATGATATTATTATTGGCAATAGTATGGGGGGTAGGAGAAGGAACAGGCCACAGTGATGTCTTGAGCCCCCTTGCCTAATACGAGGCTGGATTACATAACCAGCAAACCGTATATATGATCCTGTTAGTTTTACGTGTGTTTTAGTTTATGGATATTTTTATACCTGGGACGCGGGTGGCGCTGTGGGTTAGACCACAGAGCCTAGGACTTGCCGATCAGAAGGTCGGCGGTTTGAATCCCTGCGACGGGGTGAGCTCCCGTTGCTCGGTCCCTGCTCCTGCCAACCTAGCAGTTCGAAAGCACGTCAAAGTGCAAGTAGATAAATAGGTACCGCTCCGGCGGGAAGGTAAACAGCATTTCTGTGCACTGCTCTGCTTCGCCAGAAGTGGCTTAGTCATGCTGGCCACATGACCCGGAAGCTGTACGCCGGCTCCCTCGGCCAATAAAGCGAGATGAGCGCCGCAACCCCAGAATTGGTCACGATTGGACCAAATGGTCAGGGGTCCCTTTAAAGGTAAAGGTACCCCTGCCCGTACGGGCCAGTCTTGCCAGACTCTGGGGTTGTGCGCCCATCTCACTCAAGAGGCCGGGGGCCAGCGCTGTCCGGAGACACTTCCGGATCACGTGGCCAGCGTGACATCGCTGCTCTGGCGAGCCAGAGCCGCACACGGAACGCCGTTTACCTTCCCGCTGGTAAGCGGTCCCTATTTATCTACTTGCACCCGGGGGTGCTTTCGAACTGCTAGGTTGGCAGGCGCTGGGACCGAGCGATGGGAGCGCACCCCGCCGCGGGGATTCGAACCGCCGACCTTTCGATTGGCAAGCCCTAGGCGCTGAGGCTTTTACCCACAGCGCCACCCGCGTCCCCAGGGGTCCCTTTACCTTTTCCTTTATATTTATACCTATGACAGATTCATGTTGACACACCTTATTAGAGAAGCATAGAATTGTATGGTTGGAAAGGACTACAACTACTAGCTCAACTCCCTGTAATGTAGGAATCTTTTGCCCATGGGTCTCAAACCCATGACCCTACGATTAAGAGTCTCATGCTCTACCAACTGTACAGGTTTAACATCAGATTTAAATTGCATCCACATCTCTTCCCCACCCATACTTTTCAGATTTGCCCTCCATTCCTTTAATTCTGTTCCTCTTACCAGTCTTCTCCATTTGATTTCCGATTGAGGTGCAATAGCTGCTTGAGCTGCTGTAGTTACCAATACTGTTCTGAGCCAGGCAAAAGGAAGAGAGTGCCATCTGTGTCTGTCCCTTCCTAAGTAACCCCCCTGCTCAGCCCCACACAGTCTACAAGAGGGTACATGGCTGTACCAGCCAGTGCAGCTCCCAAGAGACCTCTGGCAGGGCAGCAAGCTTGAGGGCATTAGCGCTGCCTTGTTAAATTGTCTCTGAGCTTTACAATCAGATTGAAAGCAGCATGGGCAGAGATAACCTACTTTTAAAACAAGGGACAGTGGAGGAAAAAGTATGCAGGAGCAGAAAGGAATAGAAAGTCTAGGATTAGTGGAGCTAGGAACAAACCTAAGGGAAGGATAAGAGGGAGAGAGCAGAGAATGACACTTCTCCAGTTATCTAGTTATTTCATAGCATGATTTAGATATAGCTTCATCATTGTGCACAGTACTTTACGGAGCACAATGGACTAGTCCCTGCCTGGAAGAGCTTGCTGTCTATAACATTCAGCACAGAAGAAAAACAGAGGAAAAGAGGGAAGTGGAGGCAGGGGGAAGCAGGGAAGCAATATGTGGTTCTTTCAGTTATATGCGTTAAGGCTTAGGGATTTAGAGGGCCTGAGACTCAAAGGT